CCCCAAAACCCCAAAACCCCATTGATCACAAAAATGGTCATTTTATCAGAAAAATGTAATAAATAGTTTTTTGTCAGAACATTGGTAGAGTATAATATAAATAAGGGTGCGATTTGCTAAATAATAATAATAATGAAATCTTTTGAAAACAAACTTATAAAAAACAAAAGTACTGAATAAAATCTTGTCTAAGAGGAGGTCAAAATGAATGATGAGAGTCATCCGTCTCTACAAGAATGCATAATTAACAACACCACTTCCATCGCTCATCAAGATTGTGCTCGAGAAGAGGCTGTCTAGGATGAGGAGGAGAAAAAGTAGCAGCAAAGTCTTTCGAATTCTTCAATCAACGGGAAGTTCAACATCATTCGAAGACTTGGGCTAGACACCTAATTGCACAAGTAAGTCTACAGAGTGGTAAACATCAGAGATAGTAAAGAGTATGTCGTGAAAGTCTATATGCGAGACGAGTAAGAGGAATACTATCAGGAAGTTGGCAATAACAGGCTCATTGATAGGAACACAACCAGATAGGTTCTTATGATTGAGTCTGTTTCAAAAGAATAAGTAGATGCTCCCCTGGTTCTTGATGGTACAGCATACTCAAACTACTCCTACTTCGTAATGCCATACTACAAAAACGGAACTCTTCTCGATCTAATCTTGAGCTTTAACGAAAGAAGATCAAGAATGTCAGCGCAACTATAGAATTATCTATGGTTGTAGTGTACGTTGTGCGTTTATGATCTAATGGACAGAAGTGGTCTGAGCCACTTAGATCTTAAACCAGATAACTTCATCATCGATGACGAGTACTAACTAAGGTTGATTGACTTCGGTCACTTGACCTTATACAATCAGCAATCGAACAAACAAACTGGAACTCCGAATTATATGGCTCCTGAAATCTACACCTGTAGAAAGATTAAATACAACCCTGAAAAAGTTGATGTCTTTAATCTTGGAGTCATCCTACACATAATTCTGTTCTAGAATGTTCCGTTTAAGAGAGCAGTAGAGAATGATCCGATGTATAGATACGTAGCATAAAACGATTTCAACGGATTCTTCTCTGCACACAATGCTCAAGGATATTCCCTGGAGGGATTGAAGCTCATCTGGAAATGCCTACAAAAGTAAGCTGCCAGAAGACCCACAATCCACTACCTATTGGCTCATCCTAAAGCAAAGTAAACAAACCACTGCATAACTCCAGTTTTGTTGCAAGAGATAAAATAATATCTTTCTTGAAAAAATGCAATAAAGCAGAGGAAGGCACAAAAACATATAAACAAAAACAAATATTTTAATGCATTAAAATCTTCACCCTGATCTTTCTTTTATACTATATGTCTTAATAACTTAATATTATCTATACTTTATTGATCAAAGTATCAATAAATGGTTAATATATTAATTTCTACAATTATTAGTTGAATGAAATCTATTTAAAAATTTAACCTTAAGGGGTTTTGGGGTTTTGGGGTTTTGGGGTTTTGGGG